ATCCCCCCGGATCCGGCCGCGGCCCCGCCGCACTTCCGCGTTGTGCATCGCCCGCCGCCTTCCGCCCCGCCCGGCCGGGCCCGCCGACCCCGCACCAGCGTTCCGGCCCTCCCGGGGGCCCCGCAGCCCTGAGGCCCGCCCGGCGCCGACAGACCCCGGCCAGGCGGGGGGCGTCCGTGCCGGCTTTTATGAGGACGGGGGGGCCCTAGGGGGACTGGCGGCCGCTCCGCCCCCACAGGCCTGCCCGGCCCTGGGGGGAAGCTTGGCAAAGCGGGGTTCTGCAAAGAAACCCGGACAAGTCCCGTTGGAGCCCAGAGGGACACGGAGCTGTTGGATGGGGCCAGAGGAGGCCACGGAGATGCTGGGAGGGCTGGAGCCCCTCTGCTGGGAGGGGGGGCTGAGAGAGTCGGGGGGTTCAGCCTGGGGAAGAGAAGGCTCCGGGGAGACCTTAGAGCCCCTTCCAGTCCCTAAAGGGGCTCCAGGAGAGATGGGGAGGGACTCTGGATCAGGGAGGGGAGCCATAGGATGAGGGGAAAGGGTTTGACCCTGAAAGAGGGGAGATTGAGATGGGATCTGGGGAAGAAATTCTTTGCTGTGAGGGTGGTGAGAGCCTGGCCCAGGTTGCCCAGAGAAGCTGTGGCTGCCCCATCCCTGGAGGGGCTCAAGGGCAGGTTGGAGGGGGCTTGGAGCAACCTGGTGTGGCGGGAGGTGTCCCTGCCCAGGGCAGGGGGTGGCACTGGATGGGCTTTAATGTCCCTTCAACCCAAACCAGTCTGTGATTCCATGATTCCATAGCATCTTAGGTTAACTTGTGCCTTCTCCCTGCTGTGAATCATCCTCAAAAGGCATTACTTTAGTTCAAAGTAAAACACTGTAGTGTGACTGTTTTGGTCTGATGGTTTCTGTTTTTCCATTTACTTTTTTCTGAACCTGCCCCCCCTTTCCCCAGTTTCCTTTGCTTCCAGTGAATTTTTTGTTTTCTGAAAAACCTCACACAGCTTTCCTTGCCAACTCCGACCATTCAAAAATCAGGATGTTCCCTGAAAGCGAGCAAGCAGTGTTTAAAATGGCAATATTGGGTTTGACTTTCTGAAAGAGGCCTTTTCAATGAGGTGGACCAAAACGTTTTTCCCCTGCTGCTCTGCCCGGGGCAGAGGGGACACCAGGGGGTCTGGGGTCCCTCCCGCACCCAGGGAACGGCTGTTGGGTCCCTCAGCCAGGGCAGCGCCTGCGCCCTGCTCCTCAGGAGACTCCCTGGCTTAGATCCTCCAAAAAACCCTCCAAAACAACTCATATTTACACATATGGTAGGAACAGTGACTATAATCACAACCACATTTTCTGGAAATGTTACCCCATTTTATCTGACCGCCTGGGCAAGCTTGTACAGTGAGACACAGAAAAAAGTATTTCATTTGCTATTATAAGACATTTGGGGAGTTTTCCTGAGCAGCCCTTCTGCCTCAGCGGGAGAGACCTGAAACTTGGAATTTAGCAAGGAAATAAGCTCCAGTCATACAAGGACTAACGCACGCGTTTCATTTTTCGTGGTCTGGTGAAATCTGTTTTCATTTTGGCTGCCTGACAAAGGCTTTAAAAATATATGTACGAACTTCATTTCTTCATGCTAATTTTTAATCTACTGTAACAATTTTTTATTCTTTGAGAATAGTTTCAGCTAATGACCTTCCAGCCTTCTCTTGGCACTGCTGCCGTGGCTGTAGGTCGAGAGGAATTTCTCCTGCTGTCGGCGGTCTCCCCATGATCTCTGGATGCGTGTGCAGGGAAAACCAGCTGGAATATCTCAGAGGGTGGGATGGCAAACGTGAACCCAATGAGAAGCCTGATACTCCAATGTGCTAGAAATTGGTACACACTGGCAATTAACTCCTTCTGCTTCCTGATTTTTAACAGCTAAAAAAAGGTTTGAATATTGGGCAGGCTTGGAATTTAAGTGGAGGGTATAAAAGTATTTGGGACTTGTACACAGAGGGATAAAACTCTGTAAGGAAGGGCTCCAGACTGAGCCTGGTGAATAGCCAGTTCAAAGGGGATAATAGGAATAAGCAAAGGGAGTAGAAGGAATGGAAAAAAGGATTAATCAAAGAAAACTACATCTCAGAAGTTAGGAAGTGTAGGCATAAAGGGAAATGTGCCAGAAGTACAGCCGAGTTAGACCTCGCAAAGGAAATTAAAACAAATAGCAAAATGTTCTTTAGGCATGTATACCAAGAGACGAAGGAGAGAAGAGGTAGAGGTGATGAAAGGGGGAGAGGCAGGACACAAATGAATGCATAATACATAGTGGAAATGTGCATAAAGGAAATTGATGCATACAGATAGAAATTATCTCATCCAAGTGGAACAAAATGTAAGGATCATAACTCAATGGCAATTTCTGACCCAGACGTCTGGCAGCACTGGCCTGTCACAATTATATCTGTCTGTGTAATAGCATCACTGCAGCAG